TGCTGCTGCTGCTGCTGCTTCGGAGGTAGAGTAGTGCTTCACAGCGTCGTGACCAGCGTGGCTCGCATAGATCGCGCGAGCAATCGTCATCATGTCACTTGTTCATGTCGCCATCTTGTGTCCGTTCGTTGGGGGAGGTCGTACGAGCACGCGCGCGGAGGTGGTGGGGGGGGGAGGAATGGACTCGGGTTATGTGGGTCTTTGGCAACGTGGTGGCCTCGGGGAGGGCCCCCATTCACGGCGGATGCGCACCCCTCCCACCCCGCTGCCGCCTTCGTATTTCTTCCGCGACCTGGCAAAGACGGTGCGGCGGCGTCGCGATGGCGCGATGGCGTCGAGATGGTGTAGCAGCGAGGTGTGCCTGCCGGGTTGAGAAACGCGAAGATGTGTCCGTTCGTGTGTGTGTGTGTGCCGTGAGTGCGGTGAAGCGCGCGCACGTGCGTGCATGCGCGCGCGTGTGCTTTCTCGTGCCGTATGTTTGCATGCGCGCTGCCTGCCGTGCTTGCTTGCCTAACGCCGTCTGTGTCTGTCTGTCTGCCGCACGCACGCCCGCACGCGCGCGCGCACGCAGTGTTGTAGCTGCCGGCTTTACTCCAGCGTCTTGCCGGGTTCGTTTTGCTGTGGTTTTAATTTAGTAATTAGTAGTTTTTAGATTGTCTTTTGCGTACGCTTTCTCTTTGTTTCAGGCATTTCTTGGCTTTTTTGTCGATTTTTTGTGCGCTTACATCGCCAACCCTTTCGTTTTCACACGGTCGCAAGTGTTAGCAATTGTGCAGGTGGCTTGTATCGGCAACTATTTAGCTCGTATAGTCTTATATTAGATGTGCAGCGCTATCACCGCAGCCTATTAAGCATACGTATTTTTCTGATTTTTTTCCACGAGATGAAAAAAACAACTAGTGAAGTTCTGCCCTTGGCCTGTGTGAGAGGTTAGGCTAAGTTTTGCTGTAGAAAAATCAGAGGGTTTCTCACAGGCGTACCACTTGGTTATCTGAGCGTCATGTAGGCAGTGATCAGATTCCTCTACCAGTTTTCACTCTTTGCAGCGACGCATTGCAGACGTTAGTTTTGCACTACACGCACAGAATTCGTGTAGAAGGAACTGTAATGGCCATAACATTGCCCCATCCATTGCGAATCTTCTCTTGTAGTCTT